AAACCCGAAACCCCAAACCCCTAACCCCTCAACCCTAAACCCTAAACCCAAACCCCTCAACCCTAAACCCTAAACCCTAAACCCTAAACCCTAAACCAGAAACCCAAGCCCCTAACCCCTAAACCCTAAACCCTAAACCCCAACCCCTAAACCCTAAACCCCTGCTTGTGACTTGGAGGGCTGAACATGTCTGTTGCTTCTGGCCGTCGCATGGATTGAGGGCTTTAGGATTTTGGGATTTATGGCTTAGGGTTTAGGGTTTTAGGGTTTAGGGTTTTAGGGTTTTGGGGGTTTAGGGGTTTAGGGGTTTAGGGTTTTGGGATTTAGCGCTTAGGGTTTGGGGTTTTGGGGTGAACTTGAAAGGGCAAGCACGAAACCCTTCTAGACCCTGAACCCCAAACCCTGAGCCCTAAGCATTTAGCAGCTCACGAAAGAAGGGGCTTACGATTCTCAGTCATGTCTGCTGAAAGCTTGCAAATGAACTTGCAGTCAACTTTGGCAACAGTCGCTTGCCAGCCTATATGCCCAAACACAAAAAGCTATACACCCTAAATCTCTAAATCAGCTGATATAGGATGATAGAGGGGGGGCCTTAATGATTAGAATAGGATTCTGCCGTGTGTTATGCTATAATTAAACAAGGATGAACCCTAAGGAACAACTATTGGAAATTATTTAGGTCCCTATATTAGGTATCTCAAGCGGTTCCGGGCCGTTCTATGGGGTGCACGGGTGGGTGCCGGGAGCTAGACTTCTACTAGACGCCTATGCTTTCTTCAAGACCTACTCAAGACCTAATCTAGAAGCCGAAAAAATAGACTGCTAATCTAGAAGTCTAAACAGTAGGCCTCGTATACTAGAAGGACACCTACATGACTAAACCACTGAAAAGTAGTGTAAACCCGGAATGCCTTCAACAAGTCTGAACCCTAAACTCTTTGAAAAACACTTCAACATAAACGCAACAAGAAGGCCCCGGCTGCATCTTCAACATAGTAGCCCTTACAGTAGCCTCTGAGGGAATCGTGATACGGTAGCAACCTTTAAGGAGAGCAAGGGGACTCAGTAAGTAATGTTATAAGAAATACCTCTGATTTGGGGGAGTCGACACATCATTGGGGTCAAGCCCTAAACCCTAAACCCCTGAACCCCGAAGCCTTAAACCCCTGAACCCCTAAACCCTACACCCCTAAACCCCTAAACCCTAAACCCAAGGGCTCAGGGCATTCAGGGTATAGGGTTTATGGGAGCAGTCTCGGGCCCAAAGCAAAAAAGCAAAAAGCTCAGAACCCGGAAGCGTCAAGCTGTATCTAAATCTAGGGGTTCATAGGGGTATAGGGTTTAGGGGTTTTGGGGTTCAGGGGTTTGGGTTCAGGGTTTAGGGGTTAGGGTTCAGGGTTTAGGGGTTTACGGGTTTACGGGTTTAGGGTTTACTATTTAACCCCCGCCCCACCCCAGCCCAAAGCCCTAAGCCGCACGACCCCAAACCGCATGACACGGGCCTGGGTGCGCCTTGAAACGCTGTGGCCCTTGCACCTGCCCAGCAGGTCCTGGGATGGATTGGAAGAGGGGTTTAGGGGTTTAGGGGTTTAGGGTTTAGGGTTTTAGGGGTTTAGGGTTTAGGGTTTAGGGTTTGGGGTTTGGGTGTCTTGAAGGGCTTCATAAGACGAGAAGGGTTGCACATCGGGGCCCGTCCTAATTAGAGTAGAGCCTTGGGGGGAGATCGTGCCGTAACCATATCAGGACCCTCAACGGATACTATTAAATAACTTTAGGGTTTAGGATTTAGGGTTTAGGGTTTGGGTTACTACTGTTGATGATATGAATCCTGCATTACCTTAACGGCTGTAAACTATGGGGATTATGGTATGTTCCTTATTATGGGTAATGCAGGAGTTATGTCATCAACCGTATGACACCTACAGCACTGGCATGGTGTAGATTTCTCCTTGTTGAAAGGGGGTTTGCTAGGGTGGTTCTAAGGTTGAAACCATGGGCCCCTAGCATGGGCCCTTAACCCTGGGATCCTTATACACCTACTATATACCCTACATGTACCCTTAAGCGTCCCTGGAAAGGCCTAAGGGTCCATATTAGGGGCCCATACTTCTAAACCCTAAACCCCAAACCCTTAGATTGTTAGGGCGGTATAGGGGTTTAGGGTTTATGCCCTTGTCATGGTTCAAGGCTCATATAGCGCCAAGGGTTGAAGGTTCAAGTTTAGGCTTTAGGGTTAAGGGGTTAGGGGGTTAGGGGTTTGGGTATTTAGGGTTTAGGGTTTAGGGGTTTAGGGGTTTAGGGGTTTCGGGGTTTAGGGGTTCAGAGTTTAGGGTTTAAGGGTTTAAGGGTTTAGGGTTCATCTTAGCCCTAGATCCCGCTGACCTAAAGACCCTAGCTCTGTCAGAAACCTCGGGGAAGCCCTCAAGAACCCTAAACCCGACGACCCTGCGCCCACCAAGCCCGAAAAGCCCAAAAGCTCTCTAAAACCCCAAACCATATAATACCCTAAACCCTAAACCCTAAACCCCAAAGCCTGAACCCTAAACCCTATAAAACCCTAAACCGGGAAAGCCACGGGTCCCCGACACTTCAAGGCGCAAGCGAGAGAAACGAGACCGTCAACTAGTATGATCCCTGATCCACGGTTTAGGGTTTAGGTTTTAGGGTTTAGGGTTTAGGGTTTAGGGTTGAGGGGTTTGGGTTTAGGGTTTAGGTTTTAGGGCTTAGGGCTTAGATCCGTGGTCCTTGCTATATAAGGGCACCTACTATCGGTGCCTGCATAATCAGACTCAGGTTTGGGGGCCCATTACGCTATAGTTATAATAAGGAACCCTCAAAATAGTAATTGATAATTATTTAGGGTTTAGGGTTTAGGGTTTAGGGTTTAGGGTTTAGGGTAATTATTTAGGCCCCTACATTACATAAGATGCCTACAGTAGTATGACACTGAGTATAAGGACCCCGAGCTGAGGTGCCCCAAGACAGATCGCTTGCAGCCCTGCATCAACCCTAAACCCCAAGACAGATCGCTATGCAGCCCTGCATCAAAGCTGCACACAGCTGCCGAGAAGATTGGATCCGGGGGGGTCTCACCGGGGCGCGCCGCCGCTGCAGGCCCATTTCCATGGTTTAGGGTTGAGGGTTTAGGGGGTTTAGGGTTTGGTTGAGGGGTATGGGTTGAGGGCTTAGAGTACTGGGTTTTGGGGACAGGGTTTAGGGGTTCGGGATGTGAACTGCAAGGGTATAGCCAATGATGAACAGCTCCAAAACCCTGAATCGACTGGATCAACTTTCGATCCATCACCGGTGTTGCTCTGTCTCTGTCAAGATCCAGAGCGAAGCTCTTGAACATATTTTTTTGTATCTTATGGGGCAACTCATTCTACCTTATACTATAGAAAAGGTCATGCCATGTTAAATATCTGATTGAAGGGTCCTTAACCAGGATCACATATTATACCAGCTTAGGTTCTAGATTGGGGCCCTCATTTCCGAAACTACCACAAGAGAAGGGAGGGCACCGGATTTCACCTAAGGTACCACAATGGGATATACCACAATTAAGTTTTATGTTTTCTTTATACTTGGGGTAACTTGAAACTGGAATCTCTCACAAAAACAAACTAGGAAACGTTTCCGTTCCCCGGTCGTCTGCGTCGCAGCAAGGTTCGCATCAAAGTCGCGGTGGGTTTAGGGTCTGAGGGTTTGGTGTTAAAGCGTCGAATCGAGATGTTGGAATGCCCTAAACCCTAAACCCTAAACCCTAAACCCTAAACCCTAAACAGTGAAGACGGCCCCAAATAATCCTTCATTCGAGTGCTCGCGTCGGTCCGTCTGGATCGAAAGCGCGTGGGTGGCGGTTTAGGGTTGAGGGTTTAGGGTTTAGGGTTTAGGGTATCTTCATTCCTTATGCCAGTCTCTCGGACGCCAGACTTCCTGTGTCTGGTGCACTGGCCACCTTTCTCTACATTCATCCCCGATGGTTTCTAGATCGATGGTTTCTAGTTGTCTACCCATGTGTTGCTTTGCTACCAATCCGTCAGATCTCTTTGTCTATCGCCGCAATTGCCTCTGTGCCACGCACAGACAAGACTCTTCTCAGTATTTACAGGTGCATGATCCACTCTGCGGAATAAGCTTGTACTGTAGGGGCCTTAACATACTCTAATCATAATAAGGAACTCCCAATAATTGGTAATTATTTAGGCCCCTATGTTATATCGCATACGGTGTCGCCCCAAGGTCAGAGCGGAACTTGAGCAGCTAATTCCAAGGATCTTTAGGCGAATTCTTTGCATTTGCAGAAGCCACGTCAGCACCGGCATGCTTCTGTATGTAGACCGGCCTGCGCGCGGACGACGACGCACTCACGGTGCAGTTTAATCAACCCAGGCCCGAGAATAACCCCACCCCCTACTTACCTTGAGCTCAAGCCTACATAGGAAATTCAGAATCCTCCTAAACAGCAACCCCCGTCAGCCCTATATAGCCCAACAGCCCAACCTCCTCCATCTGCAGCTTCGCCTACGCAATAGCTGAGCAGTTAACATAGGGGCGTTAATAATTAGAATAGGGCTTTGAGATATGGTCTACTATAACTATAAGAAGGAACCCCCAAAAAAATAGAATTGGTAATTATTTAGGCCCCTATAGTAACATGATCACGAGTAGCGCTAGGGCTTGGGATTAAGGTTTACAGGCTCTCGGTCCAAATAGCATTATCGTTCCAGTCATTTCCAGTGGTATGACACGGCAATGCAATGACAAACATAACGGACAGGCGATGTGCGAAGCTGCAGAAAGAACCGTGAACCACCCTCCGTCCGACGGGGGGGTACTGAGCCCTTAAATTCTGAGGGCAGTTTGCACTGCGTATGCCGCGGTTTCGTGTGCGTCAGTGCCTCATTTTCGGGGATCGGAAAAATGGTCTGTGGATTCTACTAAACCCTAAACCCTAAACCCTAAACCCTCTAGACCCTCCAATGCTTGTTATGCGGGAAGTAGTACATTGAACGCAGCATTGCTGAAAGTACCGAACCTGAACCCTCAACCCCAACCCTGAGCCCTAAACCCTGAGCCCTAAACCCTGAGCCCTGACCCTAAACCCTGAGCCCTAAACCCTAAACCCTGAGCCCTAAGCCCTAAACCCCGACCCTAAACCCAAAACCCAAAACCCAAACCCTAAGCCCTAAACCCTAAACCCAACACCCTAAACCCTGAACCCCAAAACCCCGAACCTTAAACTTCGAAGCCCTAAACCCTAAACCCTAAACGCTAAACCCTAAACCCTAAACCGTGGCCTGCATGCACTACAAAGCCTTCCGCCAAAGGCGCTGCGAAGCCAAGCCTGGCAAAAATGCTCGGCAAGAGGTCGGGCTTAGGCTTTAGATGGCTTTAGGGTTTAGGGCTTGAAGGGTTAAGGGTTTAGGGTTTAGGGGTTTAGGGTTTAGGGGTTTAGGGTTTGATGGCTTTAGGGTTTAGGGTCTTTAGGGTTTACGGCGTAGGGTTTAGGGTCTAATAGGGTTTAGGGGTAAGTGGTTTTTAGGATTTATAAGGGGTTTAGGGCTTTAGTGGCTTGGGGCGTGAGCGTTTAGGGGTCGGGTTGATGATGTCTCCGTGAACCCTTAGGAGTTAGGATTAGGGGGATCAATAAGGTTCCTTTAAGAGAGCCACAAGTAGGGTGAAGAAGGGTCCCCTTTTCCTTCGGCCTGGGACACCGTTCAAGTTACTTTGGACGGTGGTCACACCTGTACACTGAACCTGTTAAACTATGATCTACAACGTCTTCAATTGAATAACGGGGCTGCAGGGTGATACGTAGCCAGCTCGCTCTCTACAAGTAGCGCAAGCTGGCGACATCTGACCGTCGAACGTCGAAGGGACCGGTGCCTCTGCAGGCGGAAGTTCAATACACAGCGGGGCCACCTGCGGAGAAGCTGCTCTGACGTCACCAAACGGAACCGGCGTGCTGTAGGACGGTGATAGCCCCAAGCAGAAACCCTAGGCCCGCAGCCACCCAGGGAAGCGCCGAGACGCCCGTCATACTTGCCTGGGTTCTTGTTAAGGGATTTAATTTAAGTTACCATACTGGGGATCTATAGTAAATAATATGGTTTCCTTATTATGAACCCAGTTGCCTCCGTCTCATCATCGGCTTCGGCGGCGCCCATGTCGGCAGGTTGCGCGAAGAGGCGCTGCAGCCGCAAAGGCAAGACTTTCTGCAAGAATGCTATGGACGACATCGAAGACAAGGACTGTGACCGAGCCTGCGTTGTCCGATGGCTCGCCGAAACTTGGGTCAGGCCATCGTCCAGTAGCCCCAGGAAGCTTGTGAAAGGCCTGTCCGACTCTTGCAGAAAAGCGAGGATGCGGAGTAACACGTCAGGGTTCAGCTGCTTCTGTTTGTGGAGATGGACAGCCCACATAAACCGGCCAATCAACTCCGCTTTGTACCTCGGCCCGCAAATAAAGCGTCAACCGAACATCGAAGCATGTGAGTCATCAAGAGCACCACAGAAGCAGGGTCTGCACGCAAAACTGAAGTTGTGAAACGCAAACTCGAAACCCTACGGCTACTTGGCCAACAGTCACGGACTCATCCCTCTAGCAAGTCGAAGCAATTGGAGGAAGCACTCAACACCCATCCCCACCCAACGACCTTAGTTCACCCTAACCCCTAAACTGAAAACTCCAAACCCTGCAAACCCTAAACCCGATGCTCTACACCCTAAACCCTAACCCCAACTCCCTATACTCTAAACCCTAAAACCCTAAACTCTAACCCCTAAACCCTAAACCCTAAACCCCTGATTACTCTAAACCCGAAGTTCCATGATGAGATGCAGCTCCCTCCGGCCCCGGAAATCCAGTACCATTCTCGCGGCAAAACCCAGTCCCTGCTCCGGTAGTACGCATGGCTCCTGCCACAGACTACTTGGGGCTTCGGGTTTAGGGCTTAGGGTACTATACTGGGTTCTTGTTGGGGGATTTAATTAAGTTACCATAATAAAGACACCATATTGTTATGATTTACTATAGATCCTTATTATGGTAACTTCTTTAATTACATCCTTGAGCAAGAACCCAGTCATTAAACGAGTCATTCTCACAAGCGAGCATTAAGACAAGGGCCTGCAACACGAGCCGACGTCGAATGCTGTGACGGTCGACGCAAGGCCCAACCTCTGCAGAATCCTGGGTATTCTTGTTGTGAACTTTAGTTGGAGTTGCATTAATAGGGATCTATGGTAGATAAATAGCGGTTCCTTAATTTGGTTGCTTAAATTGTAAGGTCCTAAACCCTAAACCCTAAACCGTGAATTGACTTCCTTAATGCGAGCCAAGAATCCTTCAAACTGGATAGTGTGAGAGGCGAGCACTGTCGCCCAAGGTACCTCAACTGGCTGTGGTTTAGGGTTAAGGGTTTAGGGTTTAGGGCCCCCACTTGGAGGTTCATGGGTAGCTACAAGTGGGGTTATACGTTCCCTAATATGGGTTATAAATATAGTTACCCTAGGCATGACCCTACTTATAACTACCCATGAACCTCCAAGCAGAAACAAATTTCGTCGCATGGATGTTCATGATAGGCAGCTACAGCAGCAACAACTGCAAAATTCTACTATTTTTCGAGGCACCATATCCTGGTACGCATTGTCACAAAGACACCGAATTCCAATTGTAGGACATGCCGAAGGAACGGTGTGAGCTGGACCGGCATTCCAGAATGAGACGTGCAAAGCTGCAGAGCTCTTGCCATGGCGAGGCCACCGTATGAAGCCCACGCCACACTCCTCGGTTCTGATCATGATGAAGTTGCCGATCACCAATCAGCATCATCATCACCGCCACCATCATCGACTTCATCAGCATCATCTTAATCAGCATCAACCTCAGTATTACTAGCATCATCACTCAACTTCAATCGCATCATCATCAACATCATCATCATCACCATCATCACCATCGCCATTATCACGGCCACCATCGTCATAATGATGGTGATAAATATGAAGATGCTGGAGCCAGAAGACATTGGTAGTGTTGCCAATTCGAACAGAATTGGTGATGCCCCCGACGAGGGCGACGATGAAGGCATGGCTTGGTTGCGGTGGGTGATGTGGTTGCGGCTGTGGTTGCTGTTGTCGTTGAAACTGCTGGTGTGACTCTTGCGTTGATGATGTCGTTGTTGAGGTTGATGTTGTCGTTGTTGCTGCTGTTATTGCTCTTGGTGGTGGAGCAGTTGTTCTCGTTATTGCTGCTGTTGTTGTTGTTGCTGCTGCTGCCGGCCGTGCCGGCGGTGCTGGCGGCGGTTGCGTCGGCGGTGGTGGTAGCGGTCATGGTGGTTTTGGAGTTGGTGCGGTTGTGACTGTGGTGGTATATGGTCGAACTTTTAGTAGTGGTGGTGGTGGTAGTAGTAGAAGTAGTTGTTCTTGTTGTGGTTGCTGCTGCGCTGCTCTTGTTATTGTTATTGTTCTTGTGGTTGTGGTTGCTGTCGTTGTCGTAGTTGTCGTTGTCGTCGTTGTTGTGGTTGTTGTTGTTGTTGTCGTCGCCGTTGTCGTCGTCGTCGTCGTCGTCGTCGTCGTTGTGGTTGCTGTTGTTGCTGTTGTTGCTGTTGTTGCTGTTGTTGCTGTTGTTGCTGTTGGGTTTTGTGTTTTTGTTGTTGTCGTTGTCGTTGTGGTGGTTGTGATTGTGGTTGTGGTTGTGGTTGTGGTTGTGGTTGTGGTTGTGGTTGTGGTTGTGGTTGTGGTTGTGGTTGTCGTTGTGGTTGTGTTGTGGTTGTTGAGATTGTTGTTGCTGTTGATGTTGTTGTTGTTGTTGTTGTTGTTGTTGATGTTGTTGTTGTTGCTGCTGGTAGTGCTGCTGCGGCTGCTGCTGCTGCTGCTGCTGCTGCTGCTGCTACTACTGCTGCTGCTGCTGCCGCTGCTGCTGCTGCTGCTGCTGCTGCTGCTGCTGTTTCTGTTGCTGTTTTGCCTCTGTCGCGCCTCTATTAGTGGAGTTTGTCGACGCTTTTGTTTCACTGCTTTTGCGGCCTCTTGGGCAAGGCTTCCTGCGACCTCCTCTGTAGGTTGTTCCTCAAAATAATGTGGTACCTTACTTGGGGGTCCTAATGATCAAGATCCTGCACATAAAGGTCCCACCCACTTTGGTGACAAGAGTGGGATCGGTGGGGTGGACACAGGGTTTAGGGCACGGTCGAGGGTTTGGGGTGTTGGGGTTTAGGCAGGCTATCATCGGGGATGAGTCTTCACGCCTGATGTGCTCATGTTTCAAAACGAGACTACAAGCCGAAATCAACCCGGAACCTCCACGGCAGAACCAAGCATCACGTTGAGCGGTTCCTCCAGCACTGGAAGGTACAACAGGAAACCAAGCACTTGTAGGGAGGTGTCAGCAATGTCTTGTGCGCTCCTGAGCTTGCAGCAACAGTGCTGGTACGGAGCTGACGCAAGCGATACAAGTCGTTCATACTGCGAAGAAGTGGTCAAACCCTAAACCCTAAACTCTCAACCGTGACATCTGCCAATATGGACTCAGGTTCCCGATAACCAGCATCGGTGCTGCTAAGCCAAAGAGCGGTATCCAGGAGAAGAGGACCTGCAGTATGCACACAGGGGAAATGCCAAACTCAAGCTCTCAGTTTGGGGGGTTTAGGGGTTTAGTTAGAGGGTTTAGGGGTTTAGGGGGCTTAGGGCTTGTAGGGTTTAGGGTTAAGGGTTTTAGGGTTTGGGGCTTTAGGGTTTCGGGGTTAAGCGTTTTGGGGTTAAGGGTTAAGGGGTTTAGGGTGTAGGCCTTAAGGGTTTGGGGCTTTAAGGTTTAGGGGTTTAGGTTTTAGCGCTTTAGGGTTTAGAGGTTTAGGGTGTAGGGCTTTAGGTTTAGAGGTTCAGGGGGTTTAGGGGTTTAGGGTTTAGAGGGGTTAAGGGGTTAGGGGTTTAGGGTGTTTTAGGGTGTGAAAGCCCTGAAGCCCGCTCTCCAAACGCCGAAATCCCTTGTAGAAACCGTCGACCAAGAACCTTTCCATAACACGCCACGTAAACCCTACATCCCAAAACCAAACATAACAAAAACCCAACTCCCTGAACCCAAAACCCTGAAACCCAAACTCCCTCAACCCCTGAACCCCTAACCTCACTCAGCCAAACCGCGATCAGCTACATAAAGACCCCTACATTTAAAGCCCCTTGAGAAAAAAGCCTTCTTGAACTCTCTAAAACCCTTATGAACCCAATTACAGAACCAAGCCCTAAACCCCAAACTCAGACGAACCGCAATTAGCTCATTGCTTCGATTTGGGTCTTCGAGGAAGTGGGCCACGGAGGGCAAGGCATCCTGGGGAATGCAGGAGTTTGACTCATTCGAAACAGTGTTTAGGGTTTAGGGGCATTAAGGGCACTTCAAATGTTGTTCATAGAGGTTGCTGGAAGACACAGGGGCCTTAGTTAGGAAGAGAGTTGATTGAAATGAAGTACTCCTCTGTGCGATGCACGGGGATGTTAGGATATAGTAAAGACGACGAAAATATATTATGGCACAACCTAAAAATACTGTGCAATAGACTGCTGTACTACACTGTACTGCGACCGTATACTATGCTATGCTATGCTATGCTATGCTATGCTATGCTCTGCTACGCCATGCTATGCTATACTATACTATGCCATATTATGCTATGCTATACTATACTGTACTAAACTACTGTAATGCTATAATGTGCTATACTATACGGTGTCATACTAATTTATCGTATACTGTACTGTGCTATACTGTGCTGTGCCGTACTCTGCAAAATCATATGACAACATACTTGCTAGAGTACTCCAGTAAATTTAATGTACTATACTATACTGTACTATACTGTACTATCTATACTGTCCAATAACATCGGACAACGAACGTACTACTATACTATATTTTTATACTTTACTATACTTTGCCACTATGCTAGACTATATTGTACTATACTATACTGCACTATACTATACTACCTGTACTATCATAAACTACAATAAAATATGACCTCATTTAATATAGCCTCACATAAGAGAATGTAAAACACGATCGCCTACCCTAATCTTTCCAAAAAATCATGCTGACTCATCTCGAACTGAGGACTGTCCCCTAGCCGATAGATCTGGTCTTCGTCACTTAGAGAAAGCTGTCAGAAAACCGAAGAGTGCTTAAACAAAGAACAGAACATAAACAACTCCATAAAACCATACACACGAAACAGGCCTAAACCCTGCATTCATGTAACCAACATGCAGCCGAAAGATGACACGGGAACAGAGTACTGTTGCAAAGCATGGCATCCTTCTGCCAGAGCCAGAGGCCAATGGCCGACAATACAAATGCCATCACGATGTGCAAAGTAAGGTATGTTCGGTACCTGGTGCTTCAGTTCTTTGGCGCTTGGTGACTTCGACATGTTTGAGGGATTCGACGTTTTCTGGATCACGGTGCTGCCCTTCACCTAGCAGTGATTGGGTTTGGGACAACCAGCGAACAGCCGCTCTAACGAGGGGACAAGGAACCTGAATGGTGCTTCTTGCCCCTGCATTATCAGAGCGACCATGACCGCGCAGATACACGGCACATAGAGGAGGATCACCTCCAGTCGGACATGGTGTCTAACCGCGGCGCTGCATGGCGGCCGGAAAACATCTGCCAGCAGCTTCATGGATGCGCGGCCAGCAGCTGCAAGGATCAGGTGAGTCGTGAATACCACTAGGCATGGTGTTTATAGGTATAGGGTACGGCATGTTCTGCTCCATGGGTTGAGGGTCTTAGGGTGGGAACCGTTTTGGTGGTCCATAACATAAAACTTAGGGTTGGTAGTAGGGCCCTTTCATGGTCCGCAAGCTTTGGGTTTGGGATACTGAGCTGCCGGGGCTGTTGTTCGTCGTTGTAGATATGCGGCTACAGTGGCCTCTATGCCTTTACAGGTGTTATCGATAGCCTACGTAGCCTCTAAGCCTGCATATTTTCTACACGACCGGCTGGCTTCAAACCATCAGAGAAGCATCCACGGCCAGACGTGGGCAGGCAGGGAGTGAGCAACCCGAAACCCCTACACCCTTAAACCCTAAACCCCCAAACCCTAAACGCTTAAACCCGCAACCCGATATGAACCCCTAACTCTAAACCCTAATCACCCTCAAGCCCCGAACAAATTCGCAACTCGCCGCTCAGGCCGAGCCGTTGCGACTCGAAAGCGGAAAGCTACCCCTGTTTAGGGTTGGGCTTAGGGCTTATAAGAGGTTTAGGGTTTATAAAGGGTTTAGGGTTTAGGGTTTAGGACCCTTGACCTCACGCAAAATACCCAGACGTTCCAACATCCCTGAATTAAGGAACTACCTTAAATCATATGCAGGATCTGACTGCAGCTTCCCTCTGTAATTCAACGTACGTTCCTGAACTACTCAGGGCATTTCGGGAGGTCTGGATATTGAGGCCCCTACATTAACCCCTAAACCCTAAACCCTAAACCCTAAACCCTGGAAAACCCTAGCAACTCTTAGAAGAGAACCCGTGGTAGATCCCTTAACGGAGCCCTCTTCTTATTCAAGCCGTTACCGACCTGTGGGCTCACACCCCCCTTTTTGTGGGGGTTTAGGGTTTTAGGGTTTGGGGTTTAGGGTTTAGGGTTTAGGGTTTAGGGTTTAGGGTTTAGGGACCTACTTTTCTGCATAAAAGATCCTAGCCATGAACCTAGCTGACCATTGACCCTAATGTAGCGGCCTTACGCATCAGAAGAGGGGTGCTTTAGAGGATCTACTGTAACGGCTTTAGGATTTGATACATGGCCCTTGATTTTTAGAATGGTGGTTTGGGGTATATTATAATCTATAATTGTAACCAGGCCTTCTGGCTTCTTTCTACAAGAGCATTAAACCCGAAACCGTAAACTCTAAATTCTTTCTAAAAGAGCGTCTCGTTGGAAGTCGGATCTGGCTGCCTACACCCACACAGTCCGATACCCCTTTATGGACTTTGTACCAAGTTACCCTATTTCAGGAATGCCCCGTCTATCATATTAGGGCCCTACCATACTTCAAAGTATCTTCCTTGCTTAAGGGATCTTGGAAGATCTGGGAAACCGAATAGACAGGACATGGTGTGTTCACGGTTGGGCGGCTACTTGTTCTTATGCTATGCAAAAAGATGTGCATCTATCGAAGTGGAACTCTAGTGTTGAGGTGGAGTATGGCGCAGTACAAATAAACCCTAAACTCTAAACCCAATAG